GCGGACTAGAGGCAATTGAAAAAGTCATCGTTAGCTGCTAGTTCAATAGCTGTGGAGGAGGTGTTGGGTGCAGGCAGGCAAGGGTCACTCACTTCTCCAATCCTCAGACTCCTGCTGATCACCAACGTGCTTATTGTCAAGAAAGAACTACACGCAATTGAGTAAGCGCCTGTGTTAGGAAAAGACGGTCCAAGATCACGATGTTCGAGAATTGGGAGTCCAATTTTCGGACTGATGGTGGGGGAGGGGCAGTGGTGTCCATACCGACATATTGAATGTAGTGCAAAAATAAGGGTATCACAGCGAAGAACAGGCAAGTAGAATGGAAAAGATAAAGTGGAAGTGGAAAGGGAGGTTTGCACTCGAAGAAAATCAGCCCAAACCAGAAACTCGAGTTGCAGAGATCAGAGTGATAACTTTTTTTGCGCCTTGGGAGTTTTGGAGAAAAAAATTACTCCAACGGCCAGGTCTTCGCTGTGAGCTGCGACTCATAGCTTCGGCGCCGATGGACGGTACAAACCTTACCTTCCCCTAGCAGCTTGCTTGACTCACCACCAGTTCCGAACCGTTCGCCCTTCTTGTAACGGGTACATGCATGCTGCTATTACCTGGGACCCATTGGACCGGTCACTATTTGGGAATCCTTCTTCATCTTACTCGAGTAGACCAGGCCCCTCCTCCGTCCACTACGCGGGTAGAAGGAGAAGTGATGGTCAACATGTTGCTCGTCATTGGCTGGCCACAATTTTCACCTGCTACCTAAGACGCAACTCTCTCTTACTGCCCCAGTACTTCCAACAGTTAAATACCTTGAAATGCTCCCTCCGATGCAAAATCTCAGCAATAAAAAATCAATGATGAACCAATTGACCCCCCAGCTCATCAACTTGAATACCAGTTTGACCCCCAAGCTCTGTAACACCAGACCTTGTCCTTTAAATGGTCTGAGGCCGCGGGCTGTACTGGAGTTCGAGGGTGCCCACCCTGGCAGCTCCGTTATCGCAGGTGGTGGGACCACGACGTAATATTGCCAAGCAAGACGGCCCTTCTTTTCTCTACGCGCGATTGCCTGCATATGCTTCCATTGGGACCCAAAAGGATCGATGCGTAAATGGGTCTTGGCTAATTGATCTTATTCGCTTTGCTTGCTTCATTTCCCATTGAAATATGAGTGGCCCAAGGGGGCAATTATGATACATCTATGTTCAGAATCTTTATATCTTCCTCTGGTTTCTCCTTGTGCGTCCTGGCATTCTCGATCTTGTGCACTACGTCAAAGCCCTGCGTGGCTCGGCCAAAGACTGTGTGTTTACCGTCCAGCCACGGCTGTTGCGTGTTAGCTTCGTACATTCACCTTTCAAGGAGGAAGAGAAAGGGCAAGAACTTACTGTTTTCTCCGTGGTGATGAAGAACTGACTTGCATTGGTGTTGGGACCTGCGTTGGCCATGCTGACCGTATATGGTTTGTCGTGCTTCAAACTGCTGAACTCGTCCTCAAATTCCCGACCCCAGATACTTTCGCCTCCGGTGCCATCACCCAGGGGGTCACCACACTGGATCATGAATTTGCGAATTACTCGGTGGAATATCGTATTGTTGTAATATCCGCGCTTCGAGTGCGTCACGAAGTTTTCGACTGCCTTGGGAGCCGCGTCTGGGTACAAGCGGATGTGGATATCTCCGTATGTTGTATGGATCACTGCTGCGGTACCCGTCTCGGTCTTTTTGACCTTTGTCTCCTTCTTTGCCCCGATCATCGTTGGTCGTTCATTTTGGATATCTCTTGTCGATTTGGAGAACTCCTCGTCGTTTGTGAACAGATAAAATCGCACCTTTCCAGCTGCCGTGGCGATGAGCACTGGGTCGCGCGTCTCGGATTCCTGTAGAAGAGGGTTGCTTGAAGCACCCATCTCCACGGTCGTCACGCCCTTCTTCTGCGGCTGGCCCTGGTAGATGGAGAGGTTTACAGCGCGCAGGTTCTCGTCTTTGCCATAAACCTTGACGACTTGGTTTGTGAAGATGTTGAGGACCTTGATCCCGACCATGGTTCCATATATGATGAAGTTTCCAGACTCGTCAAATATGACGTTGGTCTTGTTGGTCAACAGACCTGATTCCACTTCCCGTTCCTGCGCAAGTCTTCTCCCAAACTCGACATTGTCGAGCTTGGCTGAGGAACTTCCTGCCTGCTGCATGTCCTCGAGAGCTTGCAGTGATTCGTCGTAGGTGCGATGAAGCTTTCCGGTCCCGAAATCGAAGATTCGCAACTTGCGATCTGGGAATGAGAAGGTGGCAAGCTGTTTCCCATCACCCGATAAAGTGAGGCAAGACGGCACCGACTTGGCCTTTTTGAAATCGAACAGGTTTGTCGAGCTCTTGTATTCGAAGACGTTGTCTGGTTTCTCGTAGTTTCCGCTCGGTCGCCAATATTCAACCATGCCGTTCTCGTCCGCTGACACCACGCAATCGTACTGCTCATTGTAAGCCATCACATGGACGGGCTTGCGGTGAAGTCCCTTAATGGTATGTATAGGCTCCTCCTTCTCTCCTCGCCCATCGTAAATGTGTATCAGGGGCTTCTCCTCCTCGGAGATGGCCAGCCTAGGCAGGGAAGCTCCCTTCTTGTGAACCCAGCATACGCACTTTGGCACATACGACAATGAGAGTATAGACAATAGATCAAAGGTGATTACGTCGAAGATTTTGACTGTCTGGTCGACTCCTGCTGTCGCGAAACTGCTGCCGTCCTGGCTCACCGACACCGACTTGATCTCGCCATCGTGGGCCTTGAATTCCTTGACAAACTCGATAGCCTCTGCGTCCTTCTTCCAAAATTTGACCACGCCATCCACGGAGGAAGTGATGAGGAATTCGGTAATCGGCGTCCAGGTGGTGAAGAGAACCTGGTCCTTGTGCATCAAAGACCTCGAGTACCGGGCAGATTTGGGAAGCGCTGCGACATAGAGCTTTTCGTGTCGGAGGACTCGACGTTTTTTCTTCGGTGCTGCGGCCGAGGGCAGCTGGGGCCCCATATCATCATCGGATGAGGAGTCATCTATCCCAATTGTTAGTACGCACCTCACGCGCGACCAGTCGCTCTGGAGTAGAGCGCATGCGACAGTGGGTATTTGTTTACCTGAGCTATCGCCATTGGCCTCGGAGTGACTGCGCTTTTGACTGCGCTTGTCGTCCTCTGCGGCCTCAGGGCTGGGAGCCATTGTCTGTTTCCGCTCTGCACTCTCTCAAGTTTGTTGACGGAATAGTGACTTGGACCGTGGGGAACTGGTTGATTCACAGGTTTGGAGGAAGAGATTCGCTTGATCTGCACTTCCCAGGAAGTTATTTGGTGTGGCGCGTGCTCTCAGACATGTGGCGCATGCGGTCCCTGCGAAACCCCTTGTTCTTTTTTATCAGGTGGTGGAGCCGTATAATAGGTATTTTAGAACCTCCAGGTCTCTAATTCACACTTCAATCTAGAACTACAACGCAAATTATCTGTTTGGTACCATACATATCTCTACGTACCTAGAACAAAGCTCCAAATATATCTTTCCAACCCTGTTTGTTGCACAAGCAAATCCTGCAAAAGGCAAATCCAGGTCTCTGCCCATTCGATAGGTACCTAGGTAGCTGTAACACATCACCACACAAGCCTAAGAGGTCCTTCAGACCGACCTGGACGGCAATTGAGACGAAACCAGACACTACATGGCTATGAAGCATTTCAACTATTCATCTTGATGATAGGGTCAACTGGAAGCTCTACAGACTTGCTCTCAGTTTATTAATCTATCGTATACCGCTAAACCGGTGGATTTCTTGCAATAGCCTCCTTAGTAGTCGCGTTGCTCTTGTATCGGAATTGCATCATGCAGTGTTTGGTACCGTCACAAACAAGTCAATGATCAAATTGTCATCGTGCTGTGTATCTGAGTTTTGTTGCGGAGTGGAAGAGAAAACGACGTGGTCCGATGCATAGATTTATTGTGCCTCACATTTTTGAGACGGCCCTAGCACTTGGGTAAGAAGACTCGGACGGGGAAGCAAATACCTTCTACTTGGAGCCATCCAGAGTCATTGAGATGATCATTCCAATCCGTTGTGATATCTTGCTATTTCAATTCCCGTGAATATCAGAATCTCGAGAATGCTCTATCGGTATTTATCGCATCTACTAGATTGGTCTTAGAGCTTATGATAGAACCATTTCCAAACAATTACTGGCTCCTAGACCAGCATTTAGGCCGCTAGTACAAGGCCTGGGTGATGGTGTAGACTGGTTGCTGTCCACCAGTGCACTAGACTTCAAACATGATAGTCATATCTTTGCCATCCGTGTCGGTCCCGTAGAACTCATTCTTGGAAACTATATGATTGTCCCATTCTGAAGCCTTCTTATATCTATCTTCAGCTGTAGCTGATTCGACCACTCCTGATTTGTATTGCTCAGCAACGGGGCATGTAAAACCCTGGGCTGTATGTGAGCAAGGTGCATGAACCGAATCAAAGAGGCTACTCACAAAAGTCAAGTTAACTTCAGTGTGTCGTTCAAGTTGAAGATTCCATGCATTGCCTCCAGTGACTCCTGCGGTCGAATCATGACTGTTCACGCAAGTGAACTGTCCAACAGACCAGGGACCAACCTCAGTTGGCCATGTCTCATATCTTCCCGTATTAAAGTAGGCAGGCTGGCGTACTTGAAGACTGAATTGCGTACAATTCTTCACGATACCTTGAATCTAGTAGCTTTTGTTCTTGGTGGCACTGCCTGGCTCTGGATCTGGAAGTGCAAGTGTCTTCTCGTAAATTAGTCAATGTATCGACTAGTCAAGGGATGGGTAATACCTCTCCGGTCTTCCATTGTACTTCCGGCTGCGTAACAAAATGAACTTTGATTTCAGGCATTTTGATGGATGTAGAGCTTGTTTGATCACTCAAACTCTTCAATGCTTTGAAGAAGGTGCTTTGAGGTATGCGATAGATAATATGAGACTATCCAAATGCATCCGCAATCTGCTTGGTGGATCTTCGCTCTGAGTATGCCAATATTGGCATACTGCAGAATAGGATATCCACTTCAAAGTCAATTCGTGAATCAGAACAATTATAAGTCTAATGAGTTCCCTTGACTAACGGAGACTGACATGTCGGGGTAAAGACTTGCAACAATCAGGTCAAGCTCTTGACCTCAAGCCTCAATTCGAGTCTCTGGAACATGTGAGTGCTTGAAGAGCATAGTCTACATACAGCCAATTCTAAAACTCTTATAGACCTCAATTTGCGACCAAGTTCTCCTGAAATATCCCAGATTCAACGTTCCAAAATTTAATTACGAAGTCAAGGACTGGAAACTGACATTTGGCGATTTACCGCACTCGCTGGTGACTTCTACTACAGTTGGCAGATTAGCGACTGCATGCCTTCGATCAGCAATGATTGGGGTTCAAAATCCAGAGGAGAGCCTACTTGTTGCCGCAGAAAAGGGGAATCTTCTTCGAACGGACTCTCCATGAATTTTGAAATGTGTCCAACAACTTATTCAAGAACAGGGTCTTTCTCTCAGGGCTCCCCAATGCGAATCATGATCAAGTACTTTGAGGGCAAAAACTGATTCGAAGTTGGAGTTCTGGTCCTTGCCCGAAAAAACTGAACAGTCCTCCCTCCTAACTTGGCTCACTCAACACAACAAAGTTGAAGTGAGAATGACCTGAAATTAGATACTTTTCGTCAGCTAACATTCTTTAGCTTCTTCGTGTCTCACAAAATCGAGCAGACAGATTCTTTTTCGACTATTGTCGGTTATCAGAGTAGCCCTCGTCGATATCTACCGGAACATGGTACTTCTGTTGCTGGATGTCCGAGAACTAGAAGATGCGGCTCACAACGATCCCTCAAACCAACCCCAGCCCTGCAAACTATCAAATCCGAAAGAGCCGTGAATCCTGCATCTATCAGATGGTTTTTATTAATTGATGTGCTTATCTAGATTGAGGGTTGGGATTGATGTTAGTGAATCCTGGTCTCCCACTGCACCACCGAAACGGCCCGGTTTAACACAGCTTAAAAAATCGCCCACAGAAGGCCGCAAAAAGACCTTCGTGTGTGAAATCCTTGTCTTTAAATGCGCCATAGCAATAATGCTCGGCATATGGAAGGAAGACGCGATTGCCCCCGTTATGATTCTACCGAGGTCCCACTTATCCGCAGAAATTACGGGCTGGATGAGGTCACGACTGAGCTCCAGCATCAGGACAGTTTTATCTCGGACTTTTAAATGCACCCGCCACCGTAAACAGTCCTTTTCTCAGCATCTCATGATCTCGGGTAGCCAGCAGACACGTGCATTCTAATTCCTCACCGCATACCATCTATCTCCAATGGCCCAGCATCCCCTCCAGCGACTCACATCGCCTTCGCGCAGCTTCTCGCTGCTCCTGCACCTCTTAGGAGCAGCATCCTTCAGCTACAACTTCCATTTCCTGACAGTGTGGAAAACTCCATTCGATGAGGCCTACGGCTGGCATTTCCAGTTCCTCACCATCATCGGCCTGTCGGCCTCGCTCCTAGCCTTTGTCCTAGGCATCTTGGCAGATCTGACCCTCAACCCAACCTTGTTCAGGGTCAAGAACGCCATCTGCATCGTCGCCACCCCGCTCGAGGTCCTGATCTCCATCCTCTACTGGGGGATTCACATGATCAACCCCGAGCTCCTCTTCGAAGGCGAATTTGCATTGTCGCTCCTCCCTGACCTCGGATTCCACCTTGCCCCGGCTGTCTTCCTCAGCCTGGACCTCATCTTGCTCAGTCCCCCCTGGACGATACCTACGTACGGCGTCATGTCCCTCAGCACCGCTTTGGCATTTTCTTATTGGTACTGGGTTGAGCTGTGCTTCAGCTACAACGGATGGTAAGCGTTATCCTCGTCCTCGTCGGAAGGCTCTTTGGTTAGCAGGGCGGTTAAGGCTGACATTACTTGCAGGTACCCCTATCCTCTCTTTGGGCTCTTGAACACGTATCAGCGCATCTTCTTGTTCACATTTTCTGCATTGTTGACTACCGGCTCGTCCGTTGGACTGAAATGGGTGTATGCGCGCGTGAACGGCTATGATAAAGCGCAACATGAAGCTCATAAACCTCTGAAGAAAGTTAATTAAGATGCTATAGATATAAACCCCATGCCCAAGATCCCGTCTAGTAAAGAAACCGTCTATCAATTGGATAAATTAGTTGAAAGATGAATAGATGCAAATACGAAATCAAACCCCGGTTACACACAAAACCAACAGTCTATGCCGCATGCCCAGATTCTAACCCAAAAAACCGCCTGCTTAGTTATCGACCTCCAGAATGCCAACACCGGAGATAGTGTTCTCGTCGCTAACTGTATTGTTCTCGCTCCCGTCCGCAGTGCTGAGTACGAGATATACCTGACCCGCAGGGGCCGGCTGTCCTGCCTTGCAGAAGTTTGCCCCGGGGATAGGGGCAGTAAACTATTCATATATTGATTAGCGATCGTTCTAGAGATGAGAAACACATGCGGACAACTTACATCGTTACCAGAGCGAATAGCTGGGACATAGTACGTCTGCAACCCCGAGAAGAAAACGGCGAATACCTTGGTATTCTCAGTGACGGATCCGGCACTCTTAGCATTTTGAAATGCATTGGTCAAGGTGACACTCCCCTGACCGGCATGGTAGGTTGGGGATGCAGTTGGGTTCGTCGCCGTCAGTGGGGGAAACGCTTTAAAGGGCAGGTTGGTACCAGGTGCGAAGCCAGTCACGAATTGCGCGGCCAAAGAAAAGACTTGGTTGAAGCCGAGAGGGGTGTCGAAAGGGTTGGGGATCGGTTTCTGGCCTAGGGCCGCACGGATATAGGATGAGTGCCGAGCCTCGACAGCCAAGATGGATCCAGCCGCTGTGAGAATACTCTTGTCGGCGATGGCTGGGGCAGCTCCCAGGTACGCCGAAGTTCCAACACCTTCGAGGACGGAGGAGAGGCCGATGAAAGAGTGAACATCCTTGACGGGGAAGGAAAATGTGGGTTCTTGGATGGCCTTGGGGCCTAGAGCTCCGGCCAGGAAGTCAACATGCGTCTAAGAGTATTGTGTTAGCAAGCGGTGTCAACCAATAAGTGGGTTTCTGAATGAATGGACGGTCTTACCTGCTCATCCTTGAGAACAGTCTTCATCTGCTCATAGAAATCGGGAGAGAATTCAGCGTTCTGGAAGTCTTGCGCAGTGAAGTTCTGCAAGCCTTCGGTGTAGAACCGTCTCTCCAAGAACTCCAAGGTCAAGGCATAGTTGAGGATGGAGATGTCACCACCGTTGGGTGCCGTGACGTTTCGAGAGTTGACCGGCGCAGCAGTGGCGGGCAGAAAGAGAGAAGCTGCGAAGCTTGCAAAGACGAAGATGGGATGCATTTTGGGCGATTGAAGTATTTCAGGCTGATGACTCTGGTGTTGACTCTGGGATGGGATGAGGAGAAGACAAGTTGAACATCTCCAGACGAGACCTGTATCTTATATAGAGCATTCTTTTACCATCGCGATAATCTACAGGGTCTATCGTTCTAGTCCGCCACAACGATTCACTGTATCTGACCCCAATGCACTGGGGCGCAGTCTGTCATCTTTGGCACGGATCTCAACTATTCCGTGATTTTGCTCGACATCTTGAAACTACAAGACTGGCGGCCGACCACATCTTGACGCTTACTATAACATTGAGGCTATCCAAGCCTCGGGCGGCAGTGCAGAATCTCCCGGATACAAAAGCTTCCGGAGCTAAAGCCGTCAGCACCAGCGATCAATTGATTGTGGAGGGGCGGGTTGGCGTTTCGGAAGAGGCGCAACAGCCCAAAATGTCACTCTATGCTCCCAAAATAGACCTGCCATTAATTCTTCTTGCTGACTCAGTTGGCAGGTTCATAGTGGTAGGTTTCAATCCACCACTTCAAAATATCTTCAATTGCTACGCTTACCAATATCCTCTGCTCGCAAGATTAACCTGGTAGTAGATATCTTTCACTACAGAAAAATATGAAGGAGTCTATAGTATTGCGCCTGGGACTTTTTTTAATATTTGTTTATGCCTGTCATGTCCTCTGAATGTCCAGTGACCTCTCGTACTAGAGGCGGACACTCCCTCTTGACAAGTCTATCACCAATCGGATGTACATATTTCAAAAAAGACAAAGAAAATCATATATTACGATTTGAATCAATAATATGACTCATTTATTTTACTTGAGCTTCGTAAAAACACCTCTGTCGAACAAGTCGGTCTTTCCATGACAGGATAGTACAGTGCCATTTATGTGATATGGCTTGCATGCACTGTGTACTGAACCCTCAATGCTTTGGGACACTTCCGATTGTTGCGCCAATCGCGAATTCATTCAAACCAACCCAATTGCGAACCAAACTTCCACGTAATCTTGATAATCAAATCAGACCACGTCTTTTCAATTGCGTCCGTCTAGTATAAGAACACGCAAAACCGAAAACACAACACATGCACATCCCACCATGGATATTGACGATATCCTGAGAGAAGTCGATCCCACTTCTAGCGGGGTGCCCAACGAGACGAGCGACCTGCAATCCCTGACGCGTCTCTGGGTTGCCGAACGCTCTGCTCCCGAGCTCCTGGAGTTTGCCATCCCTTTGTATTCTGTGTCTTCTTTCAGCTGCAGCTGCTGACCAGCTTTTCCGCAGGTGGCCTTCTGGTGGTTTGTTTGAACGCATCAATGACAGGATCAAGGCGCAGATCGAGAAGATTGAGATCTTGACGGGTGACATGGACCCCAAGACCAACTTCGCCCTGATCGTCATCCAAACAGAGCTTGAGAGATATAAATTTCTCGTGAGGAGCTATTTAAGGGCCAGGATAGCCAAAGTAAGAAAACTACAAGCCCGCCTTCTGCCCCAAAACCCCGCCAATATCACACATGGCAGCTAACAGGAAAACCAGATCGACAAGCACACACTTCACTATCTATCCAGCGAGGAGCTCAGAAATAGGCTGTCAGAGACAGAGCTCGCCTACGCAACAAGGCACCAGGCCCTCCTCCACAACCACTATCTCTCCTCTTTTCTATCCTCCTTCCCCACGCAGCTGCAGAACCTAAACGACACCGCGGGAAATGTCAGCATGATTGACTCCCCCGATCTGGATGCTGCTGTCTTCATACGCATGCTTCGTGACCGGCCGGTGACTGGCCAAGGCACGGATGCGGATATCACATTGAACGCAAGCAACGGCGAGGTGTTGATTCTTCGGTGGTCAAGTGCCAAATCCATCGTCGAGGACGGTGATGCTGAGCTGGTTTAGCATCTGCTTTACTATGATCTCTCAAAACCCCAGAGAGCTACTGCGTCGCGGCACGACGTCTTGTGTCGGTCACTTGCTATTCGGCATCAAGCTTGTTCTGGTCTACTCTATAAAGTGGCATGGAACATTTAAACCCGCCGCGGGATCTCATGAAATGACCCCGGGAAATGGTGAACGCTCAAGGCATGCTGATTACCCCACCACACTTGGTCGATGCTATGCTCAAACGCTCGCATTACTAGCTAGACGCTCTAGTCGTGCCAACGCAAATCTTTACGGAACTACCTTCTTCCACCAAGAAATGGATAGGCCACCAGTTTTTCTTAAGATTACGGCAAGCCTCGCACTGAGTAGCTCTTTGAAACCACATATGCCCTTATCCGTTGGGCTGACCTCTTCTCACTGAAAATCACACGCATCAAGGCACACGGGTCGCATCCATTCAAACAAATCACATTCTCATCATGTTCAGACAATCTACTCAGAAAATGCAAAGCAATCTAGATACAACAGTCCCTTGTCTTAGGGTCAAACCAGTTCCAAACGATGGTAAAAAGCAAAAAATGCTACCCCAACTCCAAAATCTTGAACGAAGGTAAACTCCCTTTATGCTATGCAAGGAGGCAAAAAATCAATCTTCCCTTCCGGGATTCGGTATAGCTCATGTAGCAATCTCACACAATGCAACTCGTTCTTCGTCCCCTTTATAAAAAGCAAACAAACAATCTGATGGATGCTGAGCCTGCTGCTCAGTATATAACAATCTCGTATCGAATATGCGTGCTTGTAGTCCAAATAGAATCATATCGCCATGCTCATCGGGTCATAATCGTCAATCTTTCTGGACCGTATCTTCGTTCGCGTCGTTCCCAGAACGCGCCATAAGGACTGGATGCGGTCTTGCCAAAGAAAAGGAAAAAAACAAAAGTCTAATGAAAATTTCAAATGCTCGCAAAATAACGAATCATTCTCGTAATATAATCGTTCCCATTGGGGTTGGTCGTTGCAACTAGTTGCTCATCTGCCTCCAACGACACCCTTGGAGAAACCGTAGTGTCGGGATGGCTCACAGGTCTGCCTTGTATTCATTCCGAGACGCTCGGGGCGAGGGTCGAGGATGCATCGCTGCGGGGGATCGAGGATACCTCGCCGCGGGGGATGTGTCCCTCCGCGTGAATCTTAGTCGTCGCGGGGGGCAGCCCGCCCACGGTACCTGATAAGCTGAAGATGCGGAGCTGGCCGAAATTCTGCGAGAGGCGGAATGACTGCCGCTTGGTGCCGAAGTCACCGTGTCGTCTGCTTGACTTTCTCGGGACAACGGGGGTTATTGTTGTTGTAGTTACTTGGGGTGCATCCGTGGTATAAGCGCCATCTGACTTATCGGGAGTAATTGATACTGCCCTTTGGACTTCCTGTGTCTCAGGCAGTGTCTCAGGCACGGGCGTATCGGGCTGCTGCTTTTCGGCGCTCTCTTGCACCGCTGTTTCCTCTGGCGACTTGGGACGTTCGTATGTATTCTCGGGCTGCACGATCTCGAGCTTCTGTTCTTCGGGAACGAGGGTTTTGGTAGCGGAATCGTCTGATACTTCCTTTTGGGTTTCCTGTGTCTCAGGCACGGGTGTATCGAGCTGCTGCTTTTCAACACTCTTTTGCACCTCTATTTCCTCTCGGGACTGGGGACGCTCGTATATATCCTCTTCCGACTCGATCTTGAGGTTCTGCGCTTCGGGAATGAGGGTTTCGGTGGCGAAATCGTCTGTTTTTACCCTAACTTCCCGTGAGATTTCGTCTCTCGGGGGGACATCTACTGCCGAGGGGACATCTGTACATGATTCGTCTTCGCTCTCGATAAGTCGGAGGCTTGCACCATCGAGCTTCTGTTCTTCGAGAATGAGGGTTTTGGTGGCGAAATCGTCTGTTACGGACCTAGCTTCCCGTGAGATTTCGTCTCTCGAGGGTATACCTGTCTCTGCTTCGTCTTCGCTCTCGATGGATCGGAGGCTTGCACCATCGAGCTTCTGTTCTTCGGGAATGAGGGTTTTGGTGGCGGGATCGTCTGATACTTCCGTCTGGCTTTCCTGTGTCTCGCGCACGGGTAGATCGAGCTGCTGCTTTTCGGCACTCTTTTGCACCGTTATTTCCTCTGGTGTTTCTTTCGGCGAGTTAGGACGTTCGTGGACATCCTCTTCTGGCACGATTTCGAGCTTCTGCTCTTCGAAAATAGAGGTTTTGGTAGCGGAATTGTCTGATGTAGAGCCAGCTTCTCGTAGACTTTCCTTTGGCGAGTTGGGACGTTCGTATATATCCTCCTGCAGTACGATCTCGAGCCTATTTTCTTCGGGAATGAGGGTTTTGGTGTCAGAACCGTCTGGTGTGGAGGTAGCTTCTCGTGCAATTTCCTCGGGCGACTTGGGGCGTTCGTATATATCCTCATGCTGCACAATCTCGAGCTTCCCTTCTTCGGGAATGAGGGCTTTGGTGGTGGAATCGTCTGATGTGGAGCTAGCTTCCTGTGGGATTTTATCGGTTGAGAGGATACCGACTATCGAGGGGATGTCTGCTGTCGAAGACGCTTTTTCAGTCGAGCAGATTTCTTCAGTCGATGGCACCTCGTTAGTTGAGGGGACCTCTTCAGTTGAAGGGACTTCCTTCGTTGAAGGGACTTCCTCAGTTGAAGGGACTACCTCAGTTGAAGAGACTTCTCTAGTTGAGGGGACTTCTTCAGTCGAAGGGACCTCTTTAGTTGAGGAGGCCTCTTTAGTCGAGGGGATATCCACTGCTGAGGGAATCTCTACTATCGAGGGAAGCTCTTCGATCGAGGGGACTTCTTCAATCGAAGGGATCTCTGCCATTGAGGGAATTTCTTTAGTCGAGGATATCTCTACCGTCGAGGGAATCTCCATCTCTCCCTGGTCCAAATTCTCGATGAGTCGGAGGGTTGCATCGCCGAGGTGAGCAGGATGATGGATGACAGAAGGTTCCTCGATGTAAGAGCCCGACGACAGGCGTGTGGACTTTGACAAGGTCCTTCCTCGCGCGACTTCGGGCATCAAACCCCACTGATCTGCGGGCGACGGCTTGCGAGCGGACGCCGGGGTGGTGATGCCATCAGTCTGCCGGGCGCTATCAATGTCTGCCAGGCTCGGTGCCGAAGTAAGCGAGGCGCCGCCCTTAGACGAGGCCGTGCAGTCGTAGTCTTGCGTTTCGTCGAGCTGCTCTTCTTCTTCATTCTCACGGGTGGCGGAGCCATCAGGGGAGTCGAGGCGGAGATTTTCCTGCGCGGCCCTCTTCACAATCTTGCGTTGTGAGAGGCAGATTGATACGGGGGGGGTGTTGGAGTACTTGGACAGGGTGTCCTCGTCGCAGGCGGGCGTTATCTTCAGGTTTACCATGAACGCTACTTCGCCCAGGCTGCAGGTGTCCTTGCACACGGCGGTGATGTCCTGACTGATACCTTCCCGGAGAAGCTTCAGGATTGCCAACCGGTTCTCTGCCTCTGTTTGGGTTTGGTTGGTGCTCTGAACAGTAGCTGTCTCGCTCTTAACAGCAGTGGTTTCAGGTTCGATGTCTGGGATACCTTGGATAAAGGTATCCAGGACAAGATGCCCTCGCTTATGCGCAGTGATGGCAGCCGAGAAGCCTTGGCTCTGGAGCGTCTTGTTCAAGCCAGCTTGAATTCGCTCCAGGACTGCTTCGATTGTCGTCCGACACTCTGTGATGGAACAATCAAGAGATACTGCCAGGGCTCTCTCCATGGACCAGTCTTTGCATGACAGAAACTGAACCTGTACCCGCAGGTCATCCAGGCTCCCGATGCCGGTGTCGGCTTCGTCTCGGAGATCCTCCACATTGCCTTCGATGAGCTCGACAAACTCGTCGAATTCGGCGGTCTGGTCTTGGGTGAAGAGAAGCTGGAACGTCTGAATCTTGAAGTGGAAGTGGGAAAATTCCGGTCCAATGTTATTTCGAAGCTTAACCTCGAGCCCAAAGGCGTCTTCCTCGTAATGCTGGCAGCCGCCGGTCCCCTCCAGGCCATTACAGCCAAAATGGGCCTCATCGTACGCCGTCTCCCGGCCTTCAAAGGCGCGCTGGATCGTGTCTTGTACTCTGGCCATCAGGCTTTCTCCAGAGTGCAGAGTGAGTGGTGAGTTCTGCCGACTCTCGATGGTCTTCACCCAGTTCCGCACGTTGCCGCGGTGCTGGGTCTTGAGGGAGAGTTCAATGGTGTATCCAGGCATCCCGCTATAGTTGGGAATGCAATCCAGCGCCTGGGCACATCCGATGACAGGATGGTATGTCTTGTGAGGTGTCTGCTCCTCGCTTACGATAGCAGGAAGTTCCCAGTGGAAACCAGGGTCATGGCGTTGGAGAAACAGAGAAACTATCCTGTCGGTTCCGTAGATGACCTTTCGCGCTGCCGCGGCGTCAATGGGCTGCTTCTGGAAGCAGGCGAAGTACTGCTGGCCCCAGGGCTGGCCATCGCGCTCGACCTGGAAGATGAGATGGTAACGGGCATCCTTGACGTGAGGGGGTGAGCCCAGGAGAGGCTGGGCCGCGTCCGGGTCATGTCTTGTGATGAGCTCGTTGGCACAGTGCTGGATTCGGTTGACCAGCGCGTTGAAGATCTTGTCCGATCCCTCGAACTCGGGCGAGGTCTGGTAGGTGTGGCTATTCGTGAAGTCCACGGGGAGCTCGAACCGAGCTGTTACTGTGATGCGAAGTCCGGCTGGTTTCTGGGAAATGGCAGTTGCAGCAGTTGCAGCAGTTGCAGGCCTTACTGATACTGCAGGGACTTCATTCTCAGCGGTCTCTTCAGACCCGGATAAAGCTGTGGTAGGAGCCTTCCCCTCACTCTTGGTCGAGCTGGTTGGAAGTTTCTTCCAAAAATGCCGGAGGCCTTGTTTGGCCTTTGAGGCCTTTGGACGAATCTTGCGTCCCAACATGGTTGGGGACATCCTCGCGTGGGAGTTGCGAGGTGGGAGGGAGAATGCTATTTTTTGAGAATGTTGTTTTTTAACAAGACAAAAGAAAAGGAGGTTGGGAGGTTACGGATAAAGTTGTGCAAAGATGCAAATATTTGAACACGGGAGTTGTGTTGAAAATAATTTTTTGCATGTGCATGCAGAGAAAGGCGAGTAGGCATGGGGAAGTACGTGGTGGTGACGGAGAGGGGAGGGGGCCCTTGGCTGTCAACGGGAACGAACAGCAAAAGCGCCCCCTTCTTCCAAAACAATAGCTGGTCTCATAGCAACCGGCATTAGGGTCCAGCAGACGTGCTGTTGAATGGCATGGACAGCTGCGGGCAGTTGGGCTGCTGGGCAGGACACTGGAACGTGCCAACCGAGACAGCCAGCTGCTGGCGGCTGGTAGGAAACGGTCCATCTGTGCAGGGCCCAAGGGGAGAGAGCACGCGCAAAATGCGGTCGGTGACCAGCCACCAGCGGCCGGCCACGTATGTGCGCCCCGTCCACGCAGCAAGATAGGAGGAAAAAAGGACTGGGTTGTTCGTTAGGAGGGAAAAAGGACTGGGTTGTTCGTCGTTGGGATTGTTAAACCTGGATCGCGCGAACAACGTCGGCCACTGGGATCGTGTTCCCCAGTGGGGATTGGGCCAGCGGACGCTTGGCACCTAGCCATTGAGATAACACATGCCAGCGCTGTCCACGTCAAAACCGAAGCGCTGGAGAAGCACAGAAGAAACTTCATCGTCACATGCCTAAACGCCCAAAAAGATGGAAATTGACATTATCCTATTCCCGTGATCTACAAAAAAAACTGCTCACATGAATCCCATTTCAACTCCTAATATGCCAGAGCCTGATCCTACCCCCGTCGTTGCCCACCGCCAAAAGATCACTATCCCTGCCAAACGCGATCGCCGTGACCCGGCCGAGCGGCGTCGTCTCCGTCGGCCAATTTCTGTACACGGTGCAGCTCGGCAGGTGGACCAGCCTTACCGCATCCTTCTTGTGCTGCGACCCAAACGCCAGCAGCTGCCCGTCGGGCGAGAAGGTGAGCACCGTAATGGGTGTGACGAGCTGCTCCAGGACCCGCTTGGGCGCCGGCCGCTCCGTTACGGTTACTTCGCCCTTCTTCTGCTGCTGCGCCAGCTCGAGGCGGTCGTAGATATTGGTGATGCCGCTGTTGGAGCCCACCGCAACCCAACGGTCACCCCCCAGCCCTGCCGGTCCGTTATGCCCCCCGAGCGCAATCACAATGCCTCCCACACATCCCTCGTCGTTCCAGATACCGAGAAACTTACGGCTCTCCATACTATACTCTCCCACCTGCCCATCCTTGCCTAGAATTGTCATGCCGTCCCCTGTGCTCCACCAAGCAAAGTCCGCGATGCCGTTCTGGCTCGCAAGTCTTGCTGCCGCAATCCACTGCATCGATCCCGTGCTCAGTACATTGATGATGCCACCACCCTTCTTCGTAGAGGCCACGATGGCCATGTAACGTCCGCAGGGGCTGAGCTTGAATCTCTCCATGGACTTGTGCTCCAGGCGATGGCCCTGGATATTCGTAGTCTTCTGCACCAGCCCAGATGGCAGGTCCCAGTGATGAAAGTACTTTCGCCGCCCGGAGAAGAACACCTTATCTCCCTTCGGGTACAGGAACTCGGCTCTTCTCACATCCACCTGCTTGGCCTGAACCGAGGTCAACAGAGGGTTGGGCGTTGGGTGCGCCTCGGGCGCAATGTGATGCAGAAATAGGATCGAGGCTGTACTAGCAGACAGGAGGACGGGGTACTCGGGGTGAAACGACAGCGACTCCACGCCGGCCTTGTGCTTGTCGGGGATCTCGCGGGTTCGCTGGATGTCAATGACCTCGGGTCGCAGTTTCCGCTTGCCCTGGGAAGCGCCGCGCCCGGCCAGCTGGTTGACATCGCGAAGGAACTTCTCGAGTGGCTGCGCTTCCACATCATCGTCACTGCCTGACTCTTCGCTTGAGGCATCCGACGCAGCGGCAGACGACCGTCTTCTTCGCTTGCTGGGACGCTCAGAGGCTGCCTTGGCCCACGAGGGATACGGGTTCAGTCGGAGGAACTGCTGCCTAAGACGTCTGGAATACTCGGTGCCGCTGACAATGTCCTCGGCCTCTGAGATTCGCAATTTTCGTAGTCTCGTAGCGCTGGCAAGCGAGATGGCCAGCCTATCGTCGTCGCTGTCTTCCCAAGCGGGCGCGTCTCCTGTGAGGGTCTTCTCTGCCGTCTTGGCCGGCTGAGGTGCCTGGACTGCAGAGTCTGGGCGTCCGGTATCGATCATGAAGAGGTCTGCATCATCCATGTCTTCGAAACCACCCTTCTCGGCGGAGTCTACAGCCTTCGATTCGCCATTGGTATCGAGGTACTCGTTGTCGGAGAGGTCTTCACCCTTGAAGAGATTCTCTCTGAAGCCAGATGCATTTCCTAGTACTAGGCGCTCTAGCTCCTCCTCGTCGGAATCCTTATCGAACATGCTATTGTTGGATTTCGTTGGGCGGGAGGATTCGCTGTCAGAATCTAACCCAGAGAAGTCGCTCTCTGAAGTTGAGAGATCGGCCATGTCTTCGTCTTTAGGCGGTGCCATCTTCTAGGAATCTTGTCCGGCCGGCGACGTGAAATTTGAGGGTGGGATGTCGAGGTGAACCGGTTGTTGAACTAATTGAGACAGGCCTTCAGCGCATGGGTAGTTTTTTTTCTAGCTCCCGCTCCTACTTTTTTTTTTTTTGGAGCACAGCTCAGCCTTGCAAAATAGCCCCGCTGTGGGGCTTCTACTCATCCAATAAAAGAGAGGAGTAGACAAGGCTGTGATGTTCCATCATTCATCCTCAAGGCCGTCAAAGTCCGGCATCATCTCAATTAATGGAGAAGTTTACCCAAAAAGTAATTGATGATTTGATTTGATTTTTAGTTATATAGGTAATAGATTTTATATAAGGCTCTATTTTGCTAGTCTCTTAATTTCATCTTCAAGCGCTGGCAGCTTAGGGCTCACAGAGTCTGAGCATCTCAGCGACATAACGGCTCCCTTTTGCGCAACGTCAATCAGCTTCTCTGGGCTGCCGCCCTGTGCAAGGCCTGAAATTAGCACACCCAGAAATGTGTCTCCAACTCCATTCACCGAGACGACATCTTTCACGTCCTCTACTCGTGGGAAGAGACGCATGTAGATACCTCCCACATTGGGGTCGCCGGTATTGGATCGTGTGAGAATAAACTGCTGCGACTCTCGGTCAAAAAGTCGGGGGTCATCCTTACCCAGAAGAGTGGTGAGCAATACACCTTCCGACCCGAGTTTTGTAAGTAACGTAGGAATGTAGGGGAGGAGCTGCACGCTCTGCACGGGTATTCCAGCGTCTGTCAACTCGGGCGATGTCATGTAGACAAACCGCTCTCTAGCCCCGCGCATTCCAAATGCATCGATGATTTCGAACCACTCATGTGAGCTCAGATACTCATTGCCCTTTGCAGCTTCATACATGGCCGATAATTCATAAATGTTGGGGGAGGCTAAGTCGACACTCGCGTTGGGATATAACCCAAGCGGAGAGACTCCTCGAAAGGGCGAAAATAGACGCTTCGACTTTTCCACAGAAACAGGCTCAAACGCGACCTTGCAAGATTGGTCCTTGCCAGCTTTGACCCAAGTCCTGATATCCTTCTCGCTCCAATTACCATCAACAACGAGCCAACTTGGCTTCGTCGCCTTGAGCGTCTCCTCCCAATATTCGGGGAAAGAGTGCTCAGAGAAGATGCCCATGTCGGCCATGGCCATGACCAGGTTCTTGTTCGCGTCGTTCACAGCTACGTACTGCGCTGTTCGATTGGCAGGGTGGAATTCTTGGCCCAGCTGCCTCACATATGTTGTGTCCATGCCAGATGCCTTGAGAGTAGACAGGACTGTTGCACCCGCCCTATAACAGTACTTGTCAACACAGAGCCTCATGATCAAGAGAGCGATGAGAGATGAAAGGAACCTACACATCTTCGCCTACTAAGCTACAGAGTTTCACTGTTGCATTCCTACTTGCCCGGTGCGCAGCAAGGGCGACATTGTGCCCGACTCCGCCGATCGACTGGCTGATGGCAGCTGGGTTTGAAGTGGCTGTCTGGGGTGATACATCGCCGGACTTGGGCCCAGCATAGTCGCAGCTCAAATCAACGGCTACGGATCCGGCAACAAGGATGTCTGTCTTTTTATCCACGGAGATATCATCTTCTTTCTTGCTCGGTTCGGATGGCGCGGAACTATATGTGTATCTACCCAGCATCAGAGGCACTGTCCCAAGTACGTTTGTTCCGTTTTTATGCGTCTTTTTCAAATTTCTATTTCTTTTCTTTTGGAATTTTTTCTTGATTGGCTTTCTATGTACTTACGGGATAGTGGATGTCTGCGACTTGGATGACTGCAGCAGGGCTGACAGTTCCTTAGAGATATTCGTCGCCCGGACAATGTTCGACTTTACGAGGGCCATGTTCGCAACGACGGCTCGGTCGCCGGTAAGCTCCTTCAGCCGGCCAAGAACATACGGCGTGTTCTTGCTGCCGGTGAAGCCCTTTTCGACACTCTCGGTCACGGCCTGCTCGATGAAAGCTTGCATCTCCTCAGAAGGGATGGCGAACTCCTCGGGGATGGGGTTCGCAAAGAGCATACCCGTCTCGATGCCCAATTTCTCCTGGCTGTAGATGATGGACGCGGCCTCCCTCTCCGTATTGATAACTGAGGGGCTCTTGCAGCCGCTGTCTCGAGCCCAAAAGGCAGGGAAATCAACGTTTCCTGTTCTACCATCGGCAAAGGTAGAGATCAGGCATCCTTGCGTTTCGAGAAACTCGAGGGTGCGAGGAATATCCAGGAATCCCTTGGAGCCACTGCTAACGACGGCAACACGGGTGCGGCCAAGCTCAGTCAGGTCCGCAGAGATATCCATTGAGTTCTCTCCTCCGCGGTGAACACCGCCCAGGCCACCGGTGCCAAAGACGCGGATCCCGGCCAACCTAGCGAGCACCATGGTACCAGATATGGTTGTGCCACCGTTCATCTTATGTCCAGCTAAGCCCTACCAATAAATGGAGTGTCAGATAGCTCCCCTTCCCGTGATAATAAGAGAGCAGCACTCACCATGCCCACAAGGTAGGAGATATCCCTTCGTGAAACCTTGGACACATTCTTATCTTCAATCATGCGGACAATCTCCTCGGGCGTGACTCCGACTCTGGGAACACCATCGACAATACCAATGATGGCGGGCACGCCGCCATGGCTCCGTACAAGTGTCTCATGCTCCTGGGCCAGGTCCTTGCCCATGGCTCCATGGGTGTAAATGGTAGACTCGAGCGCCACGACAGGCTTGTCGGTAGCAACGGCGTCTAAGACCTCCTCAGACACCTTGAGAATCTCGCCCAGGGCTGAGGTAGCGGAGGCGCTCATATAGCGCGATTGGGCGAAACCCCCGCGCAGGGTATTGGCCAATGGTCCATTTCTATATACAGTTGAGGAGCCGCGGCAATTCAACTGGGCGGCCAGACGCCGGCCAAGAGGCATAGATAATCGGCGAGAGCAGTTCATTGTGAGAAGGGCACACGCGGGCCAGCCAACCGGGATGAAACTCAAACCAAATTGGCCTATAATAAGCGGGAGTTACTGCTAGATAAACTGGGGTCGGAAGCGAGAGAGCAGTTCCTTAGGCCGGTGAGTCGAGATAACTCAGATAAGTGGTATCTCGGTGATAGTTTTCCATGGATAAGTTCAAGATTGTGCTATCACTCAGATTGCACGCCCCTACGCCCACTATAGACCCGCTGTATCGGGGTGTCCACCCCGCGAGAACCCACTGATAAGAAGCCGTAGCTAAGCGACCGGTATGTTTCTTAGTTCTGGCCTTTAATTCACCCATTTCCTTCAAAGGACGAGGACAATTGAGTGAAGGTTTAGAAACTTGTTGGAAGATAGTCGACAGGCAGAGCTTATCCGATAACAACTACCCAAACCAACTCTACCTGCCCAGTCACCTTACTGGGATTTCAATCTGGCACCCTGGGTCCCACATCTAGACATGGGCTGCAACACTTATAGCCCGAGGAAGAGCGATCAATGTCGAGTTCTTCCTTGAAACCAACTTGCATATATATAATCCATTCTGACAATTCTTGTCCGTCTGGAATGTCGTCAATCCGGATGCAAGTCCCGCTGACACTTTCGCATAGCCCAATAAGGCGGATGTAATAAATCAAATCAGGATTCAGTGGTCTTGGCTGTAACATCATCTCTTCTCTTTTAACCCCTGTGTAATAGAAACCCATGACGTTTCTAATTTTTCTAAAATGATTACATTCGCATCTCGGCCCGCCTCTTCCGTTGAGTTCTGTGATTCTTCATATGTTGATATATCAAGGTCCATTCGTCGTACATTTTGTCCCAGTAGTATGGATAGCCTATAGCTGATTAGTAGAGGTTGCATCTTCATACGGAGCCCCATGATTCAGTTACCGCTCATCCTGCTTGCTGCGGCAGGCGTCGCTCTAGGCGACATCGTCACCCACAACGGCCAGATCTTCACCCCCGGCTTCGTTGTCGTCAACGCGCCGCAGCCCAACACTCCTCTGGGAGGTGGTAAGTGGGAGAACCATTTGACAAAATTACAGGAAGTAAAGTCCAATGTTAACTCGCCGGGCTTCGGTGATCAGAAACACTCCACCTCTCTCTCGACGTAACGGCCAACGGCGTTCTGCCACTCCCCCCGCTAAAGGAAGACAGCGCGAGCCAGATATACAACATCACCATCTTCCTGTACAGCTATGACACGGGGAGGAACTTCACCGTCTCCAACGCCACAGCCGTCGAGGATGCGAACCTGCCGAGCCTGGGTGACATCATGAAGCAGGAGACCTCCAGCACCGTCAAGCACGTCAATTGGATCTGGCCAGACTGCCTGGTAGGAAACGGTCAGCCTTCCGGGAAAGACAGCGACCGTGGCACATATAACGTAAGAATCCAGTTCCTCCCTCAAGCACCTCAACCCATCATGAGGTCGTAGAAATACATCGGCTAAGTTGCGCGAACCGAAAAACAGGTCTCGATCCACCAAAACTTCCGCCTGAACAATACAGATCACTATACCATCTTCGACCTACCGATATCGGTCACAAACAGCATCGAGGCGAACGAGAACCGCACATCCTGCGACGTGCTCGCCAATACCATCCTGCAGCCGGACGAAATCAACTGGGAGGACTCGAACCAGATCGGTGCGTTGTTTGTCCCCGACAACGCCACGACCGTCGAATATGACAGTGCGCCGAACAAGGATTCGGCTGGGACGGCTCTGGCTCAGGCTTTGGGTGTAAAACTGATGTGGGGGCTGCTCATCGCCCAAGCTCTTCTCGGGTAGATGGGTTTGATCCCGAAGAGATCTGACAGGACTCAGTCCCAAGAGGGGAAAGGGAATTAATAGGAAGTCGGACGTGAGGTAGGACAAGCACCGCCACCAGCACAGAAATCTACCTGCTCAAAGGAGCGAGAAGGAAGAAACGGACGCACAAGGCGATTCCCAATCCGACCGCCAAGAGCCAATCATAGAGGTCAATTGGGCTGAAGACAAGACTGTGTGGCAGCCAAACTAAACATCGAATCTTGTCCCAATCCAGTATGCATTTCGGGTTGGGGAAGCGATTGGGGAAGCAATGACCATGTCAATACCTAAACCCATGTAAATGTCAAGGAATTAGCAAGGGCACTTTTGCCGTTTCCACCGTCCATGCTTATTCACTCTGGATGGGCTATAGATTACTGCATTGTCCCTTGCCGAGCTCCAGAATTTTGACGTGGTATTGATCTTGTTCCATGTACTTGGTGGGGGGTATTGAGCCGAGGCTGCGTGATGAAACTCAAACTGGATGGACGAATCCAAAACTAGTTGCTATTTTTATTGGCTTTTTCCCTCGTCAATAAACAAAAGATGAGCTCACAACAGCCTGCCATATGACCTACCCCACATTGTTCCCTGTTGATGCCAAGTGATGCTACGATACCTGTGTGTCTGGACTAGGAGGCCTCGAGCTTGACCTCGGCGCGCATCTAGGTCAAGCTCAACCTATGACCCCTTGAAATATGTAGCTCCCCCTCTAAGAGCCCTGGTGTGTCCCAGCATCTCGGTTCCCTCTGCCTACCGCTCAACACCAAGTCAAACAACGGATATGCCTATGCACAGAGGGCTCTTGCCCCGCGAGGGCTTCTGCGCCGATGTTATCCTTAGCCTCATCCGTTCCACAGCCTTGAATCCGAGCTTTCTTTTCTCTCTCATTCTTCTAGGTCGCTTCACCAAGACAGGCAGAGCGCTCTCCACCCAGCATGGAAGAGCCCACAATGGGCTACATACCTTGTTCTATGTAGCCGTCGCACGCGTTGTGAACAATTGGCTCTCCAATATGGTCAGCAACAACTGGGTATCGGATAAGTATGATTGGGAAAAGGAAATTGTCCTTATCACAGGTGGTTCTGGTGGCATTGGCGGATGCATGGTCCGTCTATTTGACGAGCTAGGGGTTAAGGTAGTCGTACTTGATATCCAGCCTATGGCCTTCACAACTTGTGAGTGAACGACGAGCGATCACTAGCCGACAAAGAGACTTTGGTCTGAGCTAACTCAACTAATTTCATGGCCAGCTGGAAGAATCAGTTATTATCACTGTGATCTTAGATCACCTGAGAGCGTCAATGCTGTGGCTGATAGGATTCGCACCGAAGTAGGCCACCCAACCGTCATCATCAACAACGCCGGTGTCGTTCGTGGTAAGACGATTCTCGACAGCGAGCCGAGCGATATCCGGTTCACGTTCGATGTGAATACATTTGCTGCGTTCTGGGTCACCAAGGCCTTCTTGCCCAACTTGATCGCACGGGATCACGGCATGATTGTCACAGTAACTTCGACTGCCTCCTGGCTCGCCATCCCCAACTTGACAGACTACTGCGGCAGCAAAGCTGCTTCACTAGCCTTTCACGAAGGTCTCGCTGCTGAACTCAAGTCCAAGTACAACGCCCCAAAAGTTCGCACCGTGGTAGTTCATCCTGGCCATACAGCGACTCCGCTCTTCGAAGGTTACAACCAGGATACGGCGTTTCTCATGCCTGAGCAACAACCCGAGTCGATCGCTGAAGCAGTAGTTAAGAAGGTTCTGAGCGGGCGTTCGGGCTCCGTCATCGTTCCCCAAACGGTCGGCATGTTATCACCGCTGCGAGCAATGCCTGAATGGTACGGTCGGACCGTGCGGTCCGATGCTAGAATTATGTCAAAGTGGAACGGACGGCAGGTAATCAACGATGTTAGTGGGCCGCAGGATGACAAGCAGGCGCAGAGTGATGAAAGTGAGAGTGTGTTGCTGGTTCCCTAGTTTCAGATGGGCGGAAGCAAAATGATCTTTTCCCACAAGCAGGGACTGCAAAAAGAGAGTATACTGCGAATAGCCAAATGAAGGATCATAATCTAGGCAATACTCAAAATTGCAAGATAGTGATAGTTCCATTCTCGCCCTCACCCATCAGCCACCTTTCATCACCATATATGGTCCCTTTTGTCATGAGTCGACCCCAGTAATAAGGCGAGAACTGGACCTCATACCCATCACGACCATCTCTCTTCTTTCCCAGTGTGTCATTTACTTTCTGATTAGCCTCTTCCGCGTCGCCATTTTTCTCGTCCAAGGCAGAGCTGCCGGGCGTTTCAATGTCCCTGAAATGCAAAGCATCAACTCCTTGAACAAACAGTACAGGCTGCAGCTCAGGTTCTCTGTGATTATACAGGCTATGGCGAGCTGCAATGCGTATCCCTGCGTCCGCATCCAATACTTCGGATAGAGTGAGCCAAGGATACAGTCTGTGACGCCAGCATGGGGCCCGACCTGGCCACGAAGGGGGGTCAAAGATTCTCTCAGCTTGGTGCGGAAGTAACGTTCCTCCTCTGCTCAGGGATAAGAGACTATCGCCAATTACCTCACAGCCACATTCATCCACCCATTTTGGGCCGATAAGTGTCAGCGGGACGCCAGTAGATTTGACATGGTGGTGTCGAGCCCGCAGAACACCTCGATGAGGGCCTTCTAAATTGCGGTGGTCCTCCTCATGCACAAAAATGTGACCGCATGCAGACTGTGTCTGCGTATTCCATGTGATTGCATCCAAGTATATTCCCCTTAGTTTTGGTGATATTCGTTGACGAACACCTAATGCACTCAGTTCGGAGTTCATCCAATTTTGGACTAATCGCGGGCCTTCCGGCACTGCTTTTTTCTCGCCAGTAGAATCAGATTCTGGCGTAGCTTCTCCCAATTCATAGATCATCAATCGCTCCCGAGGATCATTGACGCCCCATAGGCCACCGCTTGACTGCCATATATATACCGCGTAGTGAGTAGCATTATGGGCAGAGAAGAATCGATCCTGAAGAATTCCCAAATCGTGTATTTTCCACTCGGATCTCCAGGTGATACTCCAGGGAAAAGATTGCGTCTTTTCCGGCACGCCAAGTCCATTCGTCAGATCGTAGCCGACAATTCCACCACTGACTGGAGTTAGATCAAAGGCTGTCGCGTAATGTCGATAAACGGCAACCCTCGAATTGAGAAATTCGCAGGGCTGCTCCTCGCACCACTCGATGATGAGAATTCCCGAATTTAGTCTTACCCGACGTATGACCTTGCCGGAGACGTCAAAGGGGACGCTCGCCTCAAGCTGCGAATGCAGGTCTTGGGCAAGGAATCCTTGCCCATCGGGTGAGGGGTACACAAGCAACGCCTCGTCCGTGCCAAACGCCCAGAGGGGTTCGCGGGCCTGAAAGGGGTCGAGCTCCCCGTCTCTGCTCAGAACCCTATCCCACGTATGCACTGCATGCAGGTGGTTGTCGTCCTTGAGAACCTGGACCTCGCGGGTTCGCCACGGCGTCGCATTGCCTAAATGGTAGTAACGCCGTGTCAGACGGGCAAATAAAGGAGCCAGGCTGTGACCCTGTTTCAGCTCCGAATAGGCTCCATTTCGGATGCAATCGCGCAGCAGGCGGCCCTCCCTTGACCGGGGGAAATGCAGCAGTATTAAGGAGAGGCAGAGCTCTGGGCTGGTGAGCGTCCTGCGAGCTCCGGTAGAGAGGCGGCGGCAGACCAGGGCATCGACTGCTGGGAGGTGAGCAATGATCTCCCAAAAGAGCGAGTATGGGAGGTCAAGAAAGCTCATGACTGGCGCTGCAGCAAGAGATGTGAATTGTCATAATTTCCGATCTCTGCCGTGGCAATCAGGAGTTTATTAAAGGGTCGGATAACGCGACGCGCCTGCCCCCTCATCTTGACAATAATAACCTACCTACCCTAGAAGGGGTCGATTAGAATTGCACCTTGACCTCTCGTCTTAAGCCGTTGGTATGCCTCTCGTGTCTGCAAGTACAAAGTATAATAATTTTCTCTAACTAACAAACCAGGGATAATATCCAAGCGGTATCGTAATACAATAATATGTGTAAGGCGAACGAAAGGTCTTTGAGGATGACCATCAGATAAGCTTTACTGCTACCCATCACCAACCAACCAGTCACCAGACTTTCATCGGTGCCTAATGAAACCTCCAATTACCACCTATATACTTGGCAAATATGCATCGATGAACAGCCCCCAACCCGGTGCCAAAAAAGAAACGCCAGGAACAAAACACCGTCCTGCATCATGGCCCGAAGTACATTTATTGGTTCCCCACTTCGCCCGCCAACAGCCTCCTCCCTCTTTCTCCATCCATTCTAGCTCCCAGCTTGCTGCAAATACGGCCTAGCTACTCGAACATGCCCGGGCCGACCTTTTTCAAATTCGACGGCCCGTCAGGTGAAATTATAGCAGTCTTCGGACAGGTGGCTGCAGACCAATGGCTGCCAGCTTTCAAGCTCGGCGCCTCGGGCTTCCGTGGGCCTCTGCCCTCGGTCGAGGACTATCTAGAGCGTGAGGAGTACCTCGCCAGTCTCCAATTCACCAAGGATTGCAGGATGAAGACTTGGTGTGTCTATAACATTGATGACCCATCCCAAGTCTTTGCCATGTGCAAGGCCATGCCCAGGGATTTGCTCATAGGCGATGAACATGGTTTCAGGAGGGAGGCGGGCTACTGCCTGACATCTGTTGTCACCGATGAGCAGTATCGCAATAAGGGTCTTGGGAGATTCCTCCTTGAGCAGGTCTCTGAATGGGTGGATAGCCAGGGACAAGGCGCGGTCACTTTCCTCTACACTTCTTCCCCTTCCTTCTTTGCCAATAAGGGCTGGCATGCCCAGTCAACGCCGCAAGCGGCCATCTTACCATTCCCCTCAACTTCCTTCTACGAGAAGGCCGGGCTGCCTCCAACCCGGATACTAAGAGGAGCCGACATCCCAGAGCTCTGTAATCGTGACGTGGACCGGTTCATTAAAGCCGTCGAGCAGCAGACTGTACCGAATGACACTACTCTGGTCACCGTAGTGCCAGCAGCAGACATGATCGTATGGATGCACGCCCGCTGCGAGTTCATATCATACAAGCTCAGAAACGAAGCCCCGGATTTCAACGGTGCCATCCACGAAGAGACCGGTACCTGGCTGTATTGGGCTCACGATTTCAGCGGCGATCAGCTCGCCGTACAGAGAATATCCAGGCCGCAAGAGGGTGATGTGCCTGTGGAGGTGATAGCCAGCCTTCTCCTAGATGCCAGAAACGAGGCTGCGACCTGGGGTCTATCCCGCGTGTCGATTTGGAGCCCGCCTCACGATGTAGGAGCTGCAGGGCAGCTGCTTTCTTCAAAGACTAGTGATCGTTTCGTGTACGAGAAGCAGAGAACAGATGCTGTCCCAATGGTCAGACTAGGATTGGGAGACGCATCCAAGGAGATATATTTTGGATATAACGAGTATTATGCTTGGAATTAGCAGCACTTATAATGGAAAATGGATCTAGGGTTGAAGCAGGCTTACCCTGAGAATTAATGAAGCTACTAATGAAGCTCAGACACATGACACTGCACGATTCAATATCGAGTATATGAGCACATGAGCATTCACTTTTATGTACCGAAAACATTGAACCATCAATAGCATCATTCAAGCAACATACAGCTCAGAACAGAGTATCGATTAAAATTTTCTCATTCAAAATTCATTTTTAAAGTACATTCCTCACTGAAGCGTCGGCATGTGAACGCTCGCCTTCTTAGCCACCGCATCTGCGCTCTGCCACAGCGCGGTCACAGTCTTGAGCTGGGTGTAAAAGTTGATACCGGGTCGACCGTAGAAGGTGCTTGCTCCGCCACCAGCAATGCTCTTCTTGTTTCCGGTGAAGGAGAACATGGGCAGGGGCACCGGGATCGGGACATTGATGCCGATCTGGCCTGCCTCGATGTTGCGTCGGAATGTCTCTGCTGTCGAACCCGACCGCGTGAAGATGGCTGTCCCATTGCCGTACTCGTTGTTATTGATAAGCTCAATAGCATCATCGATAGTTTCCACATTCAAACAGACTAGGACTGGGCCGAAGATTTCTTCCTTGTAGCAAGTCATCTCCGGTGTGACGTTGGTGATAATAGTTGGGCCGATCCAGTTCCCATCGGGATATTTCGCTGGTGCTTGACCACGCCCGTCAAGCAGAATAGTAGCGCCTTCCTTCTCGGCGGTAGAGATAAGATGCTCGATTCGTTCCAGACTCTGCTTGGAAATGACAGGTCCAAGGTCGGCACCCTCCTCAAAGCCTCCGTTGATCTGAAGAGCCCGAGCTCGTTCGGCAATCTCGGGAAGCCACTCCTTTGTCTCGCCAACCATGACCAGGGTGCTGAGAGCCATGCACCTCTGACCGGCAGCTCCAAAAGCAGCTCCAACCACGGAGTTGATGAAGTGGTTCTTATTGGCATCAGGGAGGACAGCAGCGTGGTTTTTGGCTCCTAAATTGGCCTGGACACGCTTGCCGTTGGCAGAGCCTCGGGAGAAGATGTACTCGCCAGCCTTATTGCCTCCGACAAAGCTGATGGCCTTGATAGCTGGGGCGTCCAGAATAAAATCAACAGTCCGATGAGCACCGTGAATCACATTTACAACGCCGTCTGGAAAGCCGGCCTGCTGAACAAGTTCCGAGAGAATCATAGCGGCTCCTGGATCACGCTCTGAAGGCTTGAGGATAAGAGTGTTACCAGTGATGGTAGCAATAGGAATACACCACAGAGGAATCATTGCCGGGAAGTCTAGGATTTGGCCAAATGTTAGCAATCTACCATAATGTATGTATTCTCGAATGCAAACGCAAGATTTGAGAATCAACTCACTGAAGGGACAGATAGCAGCAACCACTCCCAGAGGCTCGCGATAGCTTCTGGTCTCCATATCCTTAGCAACCTCAAGAACTTCCCCCTTGAGCAGCTCTGGGGCTCCAACAGCTGCCTCGGCGACCTGGAGACCACGGAGCACATCACCCTTGGCATCAGCAAAGGTCTTCCCCTGTTCTAAAGTAATACTAGCGGCCAGACGGTCCATGTTGTCCTTGATCAATTGCACGAAGCGGAACATGGTCTGCTGGCGATGGAGCACGGTAGTGTTCTTCCATGACTTGAACGCCAATTCAGCGCTGTCAACAGCAGCATTCATCTCCTCGTCTGTCATTTGAGGCACACGGGTGACGAGATTGTTGGTAGCTGGGTCCGGGAGGTCGATGTACTTGTCCGTCTTGGACTGCACAAACTGGTTGTTCAGGAAGTAAGGGGTGTTCTCTACCTTGGCGATCTTCTCGTGGGTAGTGGGATAGCTCTGTGCGGCCGCTGCGGCGACAGGCTTGAGATGCCGCGATGAGGCATGAATCCCCCGGGGAGCCAGCACTGAGGAGACAGAGGTCATCCTGGCCGCCGCCATGGAAGCTCGAGGAGCAGAGGCGCCTCGAGAAATGAGCCGCCGCATTTTGGTGACTGTAGAGCAAACTTGAGCTGTGTAAGTGTAAGTCTCGCCTCGGTGGCAAAGTCAGCAGCACGGTTGGGAATTAGAGTTGGGGAGGGCTGGAATTTATAAAGCCCCCTCCATGGTACATTTACAGTGTCTCAGCAACAGCTCTAGCTTTCACACAAGATCGGGAAAGCAACTGTGTGGAGGGGGTGGGGAAGACCCCAGTGAGTGGAAGATGGCAATGACGGAAAGATCGGGTCTAAGAGCCGTTGCTTGCCGAACTCACCTCGGAGTTGATTGCAAGGGAAAAGCTTATGCGGTCTCCACGTCCCGGGCTTAAAGCAAATAGACAAACCAAGCAAAGTCTTCTTCTTTCTGTGGGTTGGAGAGTAATGGATCCTATTATGGGCCAAAATGTAGTTGTTGGATTACATGTTCAAGTTGCAACTGCACATGTGGAAACGTGCGTTCTAAGACAATTCTTAGTTTGACGGCTACTTGGACGTGATCTGGAAAATATATTTGTCTCTTTTTTTTTTAGCTTTTACTTTTCTTTCAAGTTATCTTTCAGTGCTTTGCGATAATGCGCTCCCAGGTTGAAAATCCCAAACTCTCCATCAAATCAATTGGTAAGAAATTGTCAGTACACTCCCAGTTCTTGCTCTCGCCCTACCCTCATCCTAGCATTCAACCTCGAAACCTAATCTTTTAGGACTGGCTGCGGGTAGTGCGCTTGGTAACCTCAGACTTGGTCTTATCGGCACCGGAAGCAGTGGCCTCCGCGGCCTTGTCCTTGGCCTTGTCCTTGGCGTCAGTGGCAGTCTTCTTGCCAGCAGGGGCAGGAGCGCTGGAACCACCAAGAATGGTAAGAGTAACAGCAATCAAGCTGACAATGATGGCCACAAGTCCAGCGCCAACCTCGGGAACAAACTTGAAGGCTTCGACGGGGTTCTGCTGGAAGATGGCGATGAAGAGGGTGACCTTCTCCTTGATGTAGGTAACGGGGTCGTCCAAGAACTTGAGGTCAAGAGGCGACTTGGGCTTGTCGTCCTTCTTGGGCTTCTCAGCCTCGAGGAGCTGCTTCTCAATGGGGTGCTTCACGTGGAATGTCTCAGCTGCCAGCTTAGCGGCATCCTCGATGGAGTGACCGATGTAGATGTTGTCAAAGAGGATATCGTTCTGCATGGTCCAGATCTCGAATCCAATCTTTCATTGCCAAGTTAGTATGGATGCTCAAGTGATAGAACGGAAAGCACAGGTAAATAACTTACAGCGCCCATAGGCTCAAGGTTGGCAGGGGTCTTGT